CGAACTCCCAAACCATATTCTGATTAGTAGACTCGAGCTTATTATTTTAAGTACCCTTCGTCAAGCTTATAAGCTCCTTAAAATGATAGATTCCTTAGTTAACCAATCACACTTAGTAAAAAAAGATTGGTGGCAACTCCATTAATTTGTTAAATCTAGCTATAGATTTTTGGATTTATATGTTATGATATTTATATTGGTTTTTCTTTTGTAGTTGATTATTTGGATTGTTTTATTTTAAAAGTTTATAGGTATAATGAAAGTCCTTTGTAATAGTATAATTTTTTTTTGTCAAAATTGGGCGAAACTTAAATACATATGGTTTGCTCGTTTCATCTTAATACATACATCGTTCTTAATACTTACATTGTTTGTCATTTTTCTTAATACTTACATTGTTTTTAAGGACAAACAATTTGGTTCATCTTAGCACTTACATTGTTTTTAATACTTATTTTGGTCTTAGTTTTTCTAAATTTTGGACATTGTTCTTAATATGAGATTAGGCATATATTTGAATCAAATTATTTGTTATTTTTTTAATACTTACATTATTATATTTCTTTGATAATTTATTAATAATTTTTTAATTAAAAAAAATAACCGCAACGAAGCAAGGGCATTACACTAGTATATATATTAAAGAGCATGCACTATAACATAATTTTAATGATTTTGACATTAAAAAAAAAAAAAAAAACCTCTTAATAGTTATAAAGTCCTGAACTTGTACACAAAAACTTTTTGCTAATAGTTAAAAGTATCTTAATAATAGGCAATTAAGCAATAGATCAAAATTTTTTTCATTAAAAATATATCAAGATTTAGACAATGCCTAATAAAAATCATTAAAGTAGCAATATAATGTAATTAAAAGTTACAAATTAAACCAAGAAAGAAAGAGAAACTAACCTAGAAAACGAAAGCATGATGTATTTTAAAACATAAGAACATAAAATGGCACAAATAAAAAATTTTAAATTTTAAAAAATAATTTTTATATATCTAAATTAAAAAATATATTTAAATTCAAATCCATATTTATTGTAGACTATACCTGAAGAGAGTTAGGAAATAAATATAATTACGAAAAAAAAATAAGAAAAGAAAAGAAAAGAAATAGGTCTTCACATTACTTAAAATTTCAATCTTATATAACTATTGGATTATATATGTATTTTAATGTCAATAAATAGATAAATAAGACAAAAAGTATGATAGGAATGACAAAAATAAGAAAAAGAAAGGGAAGAAGTGGGTTTGAACATTAAGTAAAACTTTTAATTTTATATGATTATTGGATTATATAGAAAGTCTATTACCATGTCAATATTTTTCTTCAAAGCAATTGAATAAAAATTTAATTAAATCATAAAAAATTTGACATGCTTTCACTATTATAATTGTGATATAAATATTGAAAAGAATGAGAATAAAAAAATATTATTGTTTTTTAAAAAGAAAAATTATACATAATTGAATAATAAATTAGCTCATAGTATTTATGTACCTTCACTTATGTGATTTTTAAAAAATTTGAAAAAAATATGAAAATAAAAATAAATAAATGTGTGTCAAAAGAAAAATAATTGAAAATAAATATTATTTCTTATAAAAATTCATAAAAATAATAATATCTTTCAAAAAAGTTACAAATTGAATAAAAAAACTTTGCATCTCAGTACTATTTATAAATGTTGGGTGATAATTAGGATGTTTAAACTTTAAATTGATGATAAATATCTTTTAAATTTAAAAAATATATAATAAATGATATTTGTGTTTTTAATTTTAAAAAAAATTAAAGACTAAAGGATTATAAAGAAAGTTATCAAAATAAAAATATTTACTTAAAATTTTAAAAAAGATATCTTTATGTGAAATCTTAATCAAATAAGATTTTTTTTATTTATAATTTTATTACAAGGTATTGAGGTTTTTTATTTTTGAGAAAAAATCATACATAATTTGGCTAAAATTTTAGTTTTAAAAATTTTAATATTTGAATTTAAATAATATATAATAGATATCGTCCATGTGTAAAAAAAATGAGATATCCATTTAAGTGTCCACATGACAAATTTTATCAGATATCCTTATATATTGTAATATATATATATATAAATGATTTCTCGATTTGCATATCATAAGCCACTTAATTTTCCTAAGTTAAAATAAACTTTGTATATCTACAACAAATTAAAATTTATATACACAAAATAACTATATGAAGAAAAAAAGTTAGGGACGTAATTTAAGGAAATTTCAATAGATCAATTTTTTTTTGAAAATTTTAATTTATCTTTGGACTTTCTTTATTCATATATTTATTTAGCTGAAAAGTACATTATAAGTATAAGCTTTTTCGAATTTGCAATTTAGAAGCACTAATTTCAATGATATGCCAACTTATCTAAAAATTGATCAACATATAGACAACAATTAAAATAAAAAATATAAATTGAAAAACAAATAAATTTGATAATTCATATATTTATATTGTATCTATTTCGTATCAAATACATATAAAATATAAAAATTATAGTATTATAATTCGTAATGATACAACAAACACAAAACAATTTTTTTTATGTTAAATTCATATAAAATTTTTATTAAAATTTTAAATCATATTATTTTCATATATTTTTTCATAACGCTTTTATATAGAAAGCATTTAGCATCATTGTCAACATTACCATGATAATTTAATCACCGAAGTGATCATATTATTAAAGTTATTTTATACTCATAATTTGAAATTAGTTTACTTGGTTAACAATCATTAATTTTTAGAAATTAAATATCATTATGTTTGATATTTTACTAAAAATCAAACATTATTTTATTTCAAAATAGCAAAACAAAATAATCATTTATATTATAATAGCTACATAAGTCAATGATTTCAATATTATTTAAAGATAGTAATTTGTAAAATATTAGTAATATTTTATTTATATCATAATAAAATCTAATTAAATTATTAAATTAATATATATATATATTGATAGGTAAACTAATTTTTATAGTATGAAATATGTAAAAACCTATTTGTATTAGAAAATAAAATTAATCTATTAAAATTAGAAGATTGTATTATAGATAATATTAAAAAAGTGAAAAGAAATCATACAAATTATTTTTGAACTTGTTACAAAGAATATTAGTTTGAAAATATAAAAATTTATAATATAAAATAATTATGATTAATTTAAAAAAAGTATTTCACATATTAAATGAGTAATATTGACTAATATTAATTTTAGATATCATTTCACCTAAGTGATAAAAGTTTTTCACTTCTTAGATGAAAATTAGATTAATCTTTAAAACAATGATCCGATTATGTTTGATGATCCAAAATTACCTTTACGTAAAATCACTAAAGGGGTATTTGGTTAACGAAATTTTAGATTTCAAAAGGAAAAACGACCTTTAGGAAAGTGTGAATTCCTATTAATCTTTAAAACAATGATCCGATTATGTTTGATGATCCAAAATTACCTTTACGGAAAATCACTAAAGGGGCATTTGATTAACGAAATTTTAGATTTCAAAAGGGAAAACGACCTTTAGGAAAGTGTGAATTCCTAGTAAAGGGTGATTTTTCCTGGCATGGGAATGTTAGATTCCTATGATTTGGAGGAAACTCAGATTATTTAGTAAAGTCTTTTTATTATAATATCATTCATTACATAACAAAGACAATATTTTTTATTAAAGATAAATGCAGTCTTTGATCAAAATAATATGAAGTTAAATATAATCAAAGATTATTTTTTGTTATTAAAAAAATAAAAAGTAAAATATATGAAAGACTACATTATTTTTATATAAAATGCAAAGTTTAAATCAAACACTATGTTTATATAACCCTAAATGCAATATTTTATACATGTAATTGAAGTAATTTTATTTAATTAAATGACATTGTTTAGTTAAAGATGACATTTTTTATATTAGAAATGTAGTCTTTAACTTAAAAATATACAAATGCAATATTTAATCAAATATTGTGTTTATAAATTTACAAACATAATCTTTAATATAAAGACAATATTTTTTTTAAGATGTTTTCTCTTTAAAAACATATTGTCTTTGAAATGAAAAAAAAAAAAATTCACAAAGTTATGTTTCTAATTTTAGGAACATAGTCATTGACTTAGTTCTTTAAAAAAATGCTTTTTAACAAATAAATGTGGTCTTAGTTATTTTAAAAAAATTTACATAAAAAACATGAGCTTAATTATTTAAAAAAAAAGTGATTTTTAATTAAGACGATGTCGTAATTTTTGTATTCTTAAATATTATGTTTTAAGATCTAAAAAAAATGATCTTAATTATTTTAAAAAGTAATTTTTATTATTTAACAAAAACAATATTTCATATATAAAAAATACGATCTTTGTATATTTAAAGACTGCGTTTCGAACTAAAAAGTATGATATTTGTTATTTATCAAAAATTACGTTTTTTATATCAAAAGAGTGATTTTTGTATTGTTAAAAACTATTGATATAAAAAATATGATTTTATTATTTAACAAAGATTGCATTTATTATTTTAAAATGTGATCTTTGTTTTTTTTTCAAAGATTAAACCTTCGATATAAAAAAATGAATTTTGTTTTAAAAGCTATGTTTTTAAATAAAAAATATAGTTAAAAGTTTTTAAACTATATTGATTTTTAAAGATAAAAATAGATTAAAAAAATTTATTATTAAGGTCTAATATAAAATAAAATTAACTTTTCTTTTTAAAATATTAAAAAATCACAAAAAAATAAATTTTTAATTCCTAAATATTTAATATCGTTGAAAATCCAAAATTATTTTCAAAAATCATATACTCATAAATTAAATGCGAGAATCATATTCCCACAAATAAAATTACAAAAATCTTAAATTTCCGTCAACCAAACTATTCTAAATGATTACCTAGGACGTTATGTGATCAGCTGATCACCATGTTTTTTTAATTGGAGCGGCTCGTAGCAAACATCAGTGTAAAGTCACATCAAAATTGTGGGTTTACTTGATCCAAACCCCTTTCACACTTGGAACAAAAACGAGATAATTGGGATTGAGATATTAATCCATCCAATGAAATTGCCAATCATAATATTTGTGGGCCCTAAATGGAATATAGGTAGGCCCACCCCATAATCCGCAGACTCGTCCACAGAAATTTTCTCCAGGAACTTCTCTCTCCTCTACCTTGCTATTTTACATTCTCCACTCCAACCCCTCACCTTCGTGTGATTAGCCGAGTAAGTTCCTTTCTGATTCTCGTTCTTTCTTTTTATGATTATTATATCTGTTTGGTTTCCGAGAAAGCTAAGGGGAAAGCGGATGAAAATTCTTTCTTTTTTCTTTTTTTCACTCTTCTTCTTTCTAAGTAAGATTTAAGCTTATAATTTAGCTTAAAGGCAATAAATTTGATTTATTTTCAACGTATTGAAATTGATTCAACTTTTTTAGATGAAAGAAGCATATCTTTGGTCCTAGGAGTTTAGCTATTGTGAGAACATAGTGAAATTAAATTAGAAAGTAGACAAAAAAGGATATTTAATTTCATAAAATTTTGTTTTATTCAGCTACAATCTATGGTAAACGTGTGAATTCCATTTTCATTTTGTTTCAAACACGCCCTAGAAGGAAAAATAAAGGTTCAATTTCAACTATATTAAACTGTTACAGAAAAGTGCAATTTTAAAGCTATCCATTTCGATTTCTTTGCAGTGCCTTACCTTTGAGGGATTTGGTGTTTGTTTAGGGATTATGCTTCATATTTTGTTTTATTTTTTAGTCTATGCCATTTTTCTGTTATTTTTGCTTCTGGGTTTGTGATTTGATGGTTTATGTTGTTAAGCAAACTTTTATGCTGAAAATTGTGAAATATTGCTTTAGTGTGGTTAATTGCTGAACCTTTTTTTGGCATTTAAAGAAACTGTTGTGTTGTGCTTATGCTTTTGGAAATGGAATTACATTTCGTGATATAATTATGTTTCATTAGGTGTAATCGACTAATTACCTTGTGATGGCTAAGATGTGTAATATGGTGGCACCTTGGGGTTACTGACAATGGACTTTGGATTCTTGAGAATTCCATTGTTTGGTTTCAATCCCAAAGGGGATTCGGATTTGACACTCGCATCCACAAGTGCTCTCATGGAGCAACCTAAACAGAAAACTAGTTTTGAGATCAGGCTGTGGGGATGGACTCTACTTTCAGTTCCTCCAAAGGCAGTGAATGGTAGTGATAAAATTCGAGCTCCAACTACCATAAACAAAGGATTAAAAAGGCATGCACGACAACATGGGGTTATTGAGCCTTGTAATGAGGGTACCCCTATCCGGTTTAGGCCATATGTTTGCAAGGTTCCATGGCATACTGGTGCTAGAGCCTTCCTTTCACAGTTATTTCCTCGATATGGACATTACTGTGGTCCTAACTGGTCAAGTGGGAAAGATGGTGGATCCCTTATTTGGGACAGGAGGCCAATTGATTGGTTAGATTTTTGCTGCTATTGTCATGATATTGGTTATGATACTCATGATCAAGAAAAGCTTCTGAAAGCTGATTTAGCATTTCTCGAGTGCTTGGAGAGGCCTCATATGAGCATGAAAGGTGATCCCCATATTGCTCAACTTTACAAGACAATGTGCACCACAGGTATGCCTAGTATTCAGTGTGCTTTGATAATTTTGTTGTACTGGAAGGAGAAAATAAAAGAAAATTAGAAATTGTATTTCAGTGTTATCTATTACTTCTTCTGTTCCCTTGTTTGAGGCCATTCTTGCAATGAGCAAGGTGGAGGGTATTGTTTTGAGGCTGTCCTTTTTGGCTGTGTTGAGTTAGTATTTTTGTTCTCAGTGCTGTGCTCTATCAATGGCAGGTCTCAAAAATATACTAATACCATATAGAAGACACCTTGTGAAACTACAATATGGAAAACCTCTGATTGATTTTGGATGGCTAAGTAATGTAAGAAGAAGTTGGAATTTTCAGAAAACATGAAAGCAGATGCTGCAACCTTGGTGAGCAAGTTGTTCAGATGACCCCCAATGTGGAATGACAGTAGATGGATTTTTGAACCCTGTGCTGTCCTATCCTATGGTTCGTTGATGTTGAGCTTTCAACTTTCCAGTGTCAGCATCTTGGATTAACTTATTATCATGGTCTTATTGGAAAAATTGGGATATCCTGATCTTATCTGAATTTTAAAACAACTGCTATATGATGTAAATAACTGTCGCCGCATGTGATGTTCAAACTGTGAATGTTTTGCAATTGACTTTGATAATAACATTTGCCATCATCCTGAATTTGTTTATTGGCTGTAAATATAGAATTTGGATATGGCTACTAAAATTTTCACATTGAGGGTTGTACGGTTAGAAAACCTATATAGCAGTGGTATTAACTATTGATTGTCCAAAGTCTTACTTGAGTATTTTTCCTCATATTATTCAGGAAATTGTATCTAAGTCTGTAGTCTATGGTATTGATTGCCCTTTTATTCATTTGGAATGGAACTAGCATCATTTTTAATCTTCATCTCTCTCTCTCTCTCTCTCTCTTTTTATATATATACATACATCTTCATTTTAAAGCATTGTTTAGGCGGGTTTGCTCTGTTTCCTGTAATTTATTGTGGCTCAGGTAAACCTTTTAATGGGGAGAGAGTCACCAGGGTTGCAGCTACCTTGGTTTGCTTTTAAGAATCTCAGATTTTTTCTTTTTCTTTGCTCTAATGGTAAACCTATTCTTTCAATGAATCATCAGCTTTTGTGATATCAGTAGCAGAATTTGATCTCAAATTCTTAATACAACCATCAAATGGTTGGTTTTTATCGAGGGTTACAAATAGCTTATGTATAGTTAATGTTTAATGTGGTGTTTGAAATTTAAAAATTTTTAATGTGATATTTGAAGTTTAAAAATTTTTAATATGATATTTGAATTATTAATTTATTAACTAATGCGATATTTATTTTTAACGTGATTAATTTAAAATGATAATATATGATAAATAAATAATCATTAAATATTATATTAATTAATAAATTTATATTTCTTAAATCATATTAAAAATATTTAAAATTTGAATATCATATTAAAAATTTCATTTTATTTCAAAACCTTTCATAATATTATCCCTTTTATTAATTGTGCTAATTGTAAGCAATTGTTTCTAATTTGTCTATCTAGTCGTGCCATTTTTATTCTTAGGAGGTATAATTTGTCAGACAATAATGCTCCTCAACCTCTGTCCTGCACCCTCTCCCCAACTACTGCTTTCTTCTTCTTTTTTTTTTTTTTAATTTTCATATTCAATTGATCCTCCCGTCAATTTTCTTAATATCTATTGAAATTGACATATATTTTATTCTAAAATTATTTTTGCGAAAGCAATGATTTGGATTAGTTCAATAAAATTACCCCTTAGTAAAGCTTGGGCATCAACTCTGTTAGCTAAATTACAGTATTTGATGTTAAATATAAAAATTATTATATCATAATTTATATTAAATATTATTTATTTTTAAATTCATATATTATTTTTAAAAAAATTTAAATTATGTTAACTTTAATATTATTTTAATATTATATTCATTATATTATGCTAAAAGTTATCGTGTTTGTTTGATGTCAAGAAAGAAGGATAGCTTGCACTAAAATCAAGAAAAAAAAAGATGTAAAATTTTGTAATACTAGCAAAGGAAAAAGAATAGTAAAAGTCATAGTTCCATAAGGAGTAGCTAACATGCGATTGAATAATCATAAAAATAATTATTAATTATTAAAAGAATTGAAGAAAGGAAGAAAGAGCCAAAAAGAACAATAATACTAGTAGAAAATCATGAAAATAAGGTTGACTGTTCGATACTACATAAAACAGAATAAACGGTTGTGATTATTCCATTAGCATTTCACGAACGGAGCCCACTGGTTTATTTTGAGGATTGAAGTAGGCATTACGGTATTACCGATGCAGTCTTAATCCACGCGTTGACGGACTTGGAAAAGGTTATACTGTTGCTCTTGCTCCACTCGCATCTTCAGCGCGTGCAGAATTATACTTTTTTGGCCATCTACTTCGTAGTAAATTTTTTTTTTTTCACTAATAAATGATTGATTTAATTGATTATGTTTGTCTTTTTTAACAAAAAATTTTTGGATTCGAGTCATACAGATGATCATTCATTGAGATCATTTCAAATATATGATTTATAATCACTTGTCTTAAATTATCAGATATGATACATCTTATCTTGATTTAAAAAATTAAATAATTTATCTACTTTCAAAATTTATTTTACGAAAAAGAGTGTTGTTTTGGCCAATTTAATAATATAATTTAGATAATATATAAGTTTGTTTGGATTGGCCCATGAAAGAAAAAAAGGAGCAAAGTTTAAATATATTTTACCACTTGAATAAATTAAATACAGGTCACAAATGGTTGGTTCATTTTTATTAATCTAAAAATATTTTACCACAAATTATAATGTGTTTAAAAATTACATTTATATTTAAATTTTATGTTTTTGAACGTAAATGTAACGTTAAACGAAATTAATTTTTTTAAAAAATTACATATTATATTTTTTATTTCATGTTATATGTGATAAAGTTAATTTAATTGTGACATCAACATTTTTTTTACTTAAAGATTAGCTTGCTTAATTTTGAAACCAACTTGCACTAATTTGTTCATTTTCTTAGATTTTTTTTTGCCAATATTATGTTAATAGATTAATCCATATAACTTGTGATAATTTAAATTTATTTTTTACTCATATGTTAGTACTAATATATGATTTGGATTAGAATTTAAATGGTTGAATCAAATCAGAAGTAAAATTAAAATAATGTAAAATTCTATTATTAAATCAATTAGTATATATTTACATATGACACGTGATCATGGATTAATTTGTAAGAAAATATGAGAAGATTGTAATTATTTTTTTATAAAGAGATTGTTTATCATAACTAACCTTTTATTTTTTTATTCAATTTAAATTATATATTACTAATTTTGGAGAAAAGACAATATCACTTCAAAAATAATTCGGAAAAGCTTCTCCTAATATAGGCACGAAGAACAGTCATGCTAATATGTCAATTGCAGTCAATTAAAAAAAAAAGAAAAAGATATTTTAAGCCTTTTTTTTTCAAATATTAAAAATAGTAGGAAAATAATACAAATATATGTAATTAAATTACATTTGGTTGTTATTTTTATTTTCAAATTTGGATTAAAAATAATATTTTAAAAATTAAGATAAAATATATTTTCTAAATAATAATTTTCTATTTTTAATCTGATATAAACTAATTATATAATAATTGGTGTTATATATTAAATATTTATTTATTTTAGTTAATTATGATTTTAACATTTTTATCTTTTAATTTTATTTAAGATAAATTTTTCGGAATTGGAATTCCAATTGGAGAAAAATATATATCCAGTGAGTCACTCTCACTCGACTTTGTAGCGCGTGTAGCTCGTCGAGAACGCTCCTCCAAAAAAAAAAACTCAGTGCAATCAAAACGGTGTCGTTTGAAAAATCGCCTCCTTGAGTCGGGAGTCCTCAGATCGTGATTAAAAAAAAAAAAAAAAAGAAAACATTGAAACATTGAAAGTCTAACCTCATCCCTAATTAGACCAAACCAAACAGACTTTCTCTCTCTCTCTCTCTCTCTTCTTTTCTTCTTTTATCTTTCTTTTATCCAACGATGAAACCCTAAGCAATCCCTCTTTATATCTCTCTACTTCGTTTCCCGATGCTTTAATATGAGGGTTCTCTTCAGATCTGGTCCACCTCAGGTGAGTTCCTTTTTTTCTTTTCTTTTTTATTTTATTTCATTTTGATTTTGTATTATTTTTCCGATTTGATTTATTTTTCTGGTGACTTTGGGGGATTGATTGATGTAATTATTATAATCATCTTATTGTTATCTTCGGATCAGGTGTTGTTTCTTTCTCTTGTTCATTTTGTTATGAAATCATTTTTTTTGTGTAATTTATATAGTTTTATTATTTTTTTCAGAAATAATTGAAAGAAAAAAGAAAGAAAGTCTGAAACTGTAAATGTTACAATATAAAAGAACTGTTTCTTTTCTTTGCTTTTTCTTTTTTGATTTTCTTAATAAAATTTTAGAGAAAAAGTGTAAATTTACTTCCGAAATTGATTTGAGATAAAAATAATAGAGGAGCTGATTTTCCTTCATTTTCTCGGTGACCAAGGGGAATTTTATTATTTGGAAGACTATGCTTTCTGAGGCCTTTTAATTATTTATGGTTTTAAAAAGCTTTTGGAAATATTATTGTCCTTTATTGATTTGTAAAATGTTTGGGGCTGTTAATTATTTGCAATAAAAGAAACAATGTCTGGGTTTGGTGTTGTTTTTTTTAGTACATGAGGCTGAGGATAATACTAGTTTTAGGATGTTAAGGATGGAGTCGGTACCAGTTGGAATAAGCTCTGGCATTATATTTCCATAGATTTTGCAATAATTTTCAAACATTCTTTATGTGGTTATGAGAGGATAAGCAACACATGGTTTGGGAAGGATTTAAAATTTTGTGGATGTTTTGGGGCTGAATGAAGCTACCGTTGGAGGGCTGAATTCGCTTTGAAGGCTACATTCAAGGAAGTCATTATGGATTAGAGATTGTAATTGTGCTTTTCAGAGCATTGTTATGTTTTGTGAGAGTTCACTCTGAGTCTTTGATGATTTTGGCAATCTTGGTCATAGGTTTTCAATCAGTTTAATAAATATAGGTTTTTTTTTTTTTCGTTTGAGATGGGTACTGCAATTGTCTTCTCATTTATATCTTGATTGTTAGAAATTTAAACTATGATGATCTGGTAATCTGGCTTTAAGGTTTCTTATAGTATTTTATTGGTGTTTGTTGCTGTTTGATGAATGTTGAAAGTGATTCACTATTTGGACAATCAGATTCTTTCCCTCCCATCCTTTTTATAACTTAATTGTAATTGATTGAATTTGCTTTAGTGAATGATACATGACCTAGTTTGTTTTGCTGATGATGTGTGCATTCTGCAGATATAATGCATTTTGACGAAGTATTTTAGATGGATGATGATAGTGCAGATGGATAAAATGTCTGCTCCTTCATCCAGGGAGCGCGCACAGCGTCTTTATGAGAAGGTATATGTTTTATTCTTTAGAAAATGAGGTTCCATTTGAGTTTCTGGTCATGCAAGTTAACATTTGGTACTCTGCAGAATATAGAGTTGGAAAATAATCGTAGGAGATCAGCTCAGGCACGAATACCTTCAGATCCCAATGCCTGGCAGCAAATGCGTGAGAACTATGAGGCAATAATTCTTGAGGACCATGCTTTTTCTGAGCAGCACAATATTGAATATGCTTTGTGGCAGTTACATTACAAGCGGATTGAGGAACTAAGAGCACATTATAGTGCTGCTCTAGCATCTGCAGGATCAAATGCATCTCAGGGTGTGAAAATTCCTCCACGACCTGACCGGCTAACAAAAATAAGACTGCAGTTTAAGACTTTCCTTTCAGAGGCAACAGGATTTTATCATGATCTGATTTTGAAAATCAGAGCAAAGTATGGACTTCCATTTGGGTACTTTTCTGATGATTCAGGAAGCCGAATTGTTATGGACAAAGATGGGAAGAAATCTGCTGACATAAAAAAAGGTTTGGTGTCATGTCACCGTTGTTTGATATACTTGGGAGACCTAGCACGGTACAAAGGATTATATGGAGATGGAGACTCTAAATCACGTGAATATGCAGCAGCTTCAAGTTACTACTTGCAAGCTGCATCAATTTGGCCATCAAGTGGGAATCCACATCATCAGGTTTTGCTTTATTTTCCTTTTCCCTGTTAATAGAGTATCCTTAACTTATGCCCCAATAATCTTTTTGCACTTGCCTTGAATTTTTCCTGTTCAAGTATATTCTGATTTTTAATACGGGCAGTTATCTGTTTATTTCAGCTAGCTATATTGGCGTCCTACTCTGGAGATGAGCTGGTGGCTGTTTATCGATATTTTCGGAGTTTGGCAGTGGATAATCCCTTTACAACTGCTAGGGATAACTTGGTCGTTGCATTTGAGAAGGTATAAGTGCAAATTTTAGTTTTTATCTTGACATTTGGGTTTTCCTATCTGCTTATTCCTGGTAGCAATGTCTTTACTGTTTGACCTTGTGGATGTATTATGGGTTATTGGTTAGTGTGTGCTTTTGTATCTGTCTATGACATTAAGTTGCTTGCTTGGTTGAACATCTTTGATGTGTGCATTATCTTCCTAAGCAATAGTTATAGGTTTTTGAAAATTTTAGATAATTGCAAACAATTATTAGGTGATTTTCTGTAAAGGTGCTGATTCTTGTTATAACATATGGCTACTATCATCTAGTCTAATGGAAGAAAATGTCAATCCACCCTTTCTACGTTTAATAGTTAATGACTAATGAAGATTAGTAATGGGGTGTTGTGGATTGCACATACAAAATGTTGTCCAATATTTTAATAGAAGAAATTGTGTTATTTCTTATCTTACATATGTATACGTAGATATGCATAGATTAGCAGAAGTTACAATATGACATAATGTCAAACAGTTACCCTGTGTTTTCCACTATGGAGTTTTGGGAGGATTTTTAACTTTGTCAAAGACATATTACTTTTTGTGTTTGAGCATGCAGCCAGATTCTGACATGGTAATTTGAAGTTAACTACTTTTAATCTCATAATATTTTCATAATTGTTGTTAAGAGTGTGATTAATAATTGTATATTAAATGTTACTGAATAGAAAACCAAGTTTTTGAGTGGGTTTATTATTTATATGCTGGTATTGGATATGCATACAACTATGGAAATTGTGTTAAATATATGCCTTTCTTATTATTCTGACATGGTAATCCAACTTTGAAATAACTACTTTTAATGTCATAATATTTTCATAATTGTTGTTAAGAGTGTGATTAATAATTGTATATTAAATGTTACTGAATAGAAAACCAAGTTTTTTAGTGGGTCTATTATTTATATGCTAGTGTTGGATATGTATATGACATATGCATTTTATATTTGCAGAATCGTCATAATTACTCTCAGCTTCCTGGGGATGTTAATACTCCCTTGGTCAAGGAGCCTGCTGTAAGGTTATCAGGAAAGGGTAGAGGGAAAGTGGAAGCAAAACTTGCATCTAACGATGCCAACAGGGAATCAAGCCCTGCTAATGAGAAAGTATCTGGTGTTCAGGATACTTTGAAGTCCTTTTGCATTCGATTTGTGCGATTAACTGGCATTCTTTTTACACGCACAAGGTATACTTTCTCCTTAACTTATTTATTTTTGTTGTTGACCCAAGTTTTTCTGGGGTTGTGTCCTTATCAAAGCTTCCTTGTGCAGCCTGGAGACATTTGCTGATGTTCTTTCTCTGGTTAGCCATGATTTATGTGAACTTCTCTCCTCGGGGCCAGAAGAGGAACTGAATTTTGGCATAGATGCTGCTGAGAATGCACTTCTCCTTGTTAGGCTGGTTTCCATTCTTGTATTCACAGTTCACAATCTGAAGAGGGAGAGTGAAGGTCAATCATATGCTGAAATTGTACAGCGTGCTGCATTACTTCAGAATGCATTCACTTCCGTTTTTGAGTTGATGGGACATATAGTGGAGAGATGTTCACAGCTCCAGGATATTTCTTCCAGCTACACCTTACCTGCTATTCTGGTTTTTGTAGAATGGTTGGCTTGCTGTCCAGATGTTGCAGCAGCTGGCAGTGATGTGGATGAGAAACAGTCAATTACTAGATCACTTTTCTGGAAACATTGCATATCATTTCTGAATAAGATCTTGTCAATTAGGCCAATGTGCATTGATTATGATGAAGATGAGACCTGCTTTTTCAATATGAGCAGGTATGAAGAAGGAGAAACTGAAAACCGTCTTGCACTGTGGGAGGACTTTGAGTTGCGAGGGTTCTTGCCTCTTGTTCCGGCACACACCATTTTGGACTTCTCAAGGAAACATTCCTTTGTAAGTGATGGCGATAAAGAAAAGAAAGCTCGTATCAAGAGAATTTTAGCAGCTGGGAAGGCTTTAGCTAATGTCATTAGGGTTGATCAGAAAAATGTTTGTTTTGATTCAAAAGCAAAGAAATTTCTTATTGGTGTTGAGCCATCTGAAGATGTCACATTCAGCTTTTCTACCCCACTGGCAACAAATGGTATGGGGCATGAAACCCCATTTGAGAAGACAATTAGTATTGGAAATATGCGGACAACCCCTCAACCTAGAATGGTTGGGGAAGAAGATGATGATGATGAAGTGATTGTTTTCCAGCCGGCTGTGAGTGAGAAGAGAACTGAAGTGATTGGTCCCAACATGCCCCCCTCTGAGACTTTGAAGCTTGATCAAAGTAGCTCTGCAGGTGATCTCAAATTTTATGGCAGTACCATGTCTGTTCCTCATAATAGTGTTCGTCAACATAATACATTTGATGCTAGTTCTCCACTGTCGGTATCTGTTGGTAGCATTCTCCCTCAGCATCTGCAGCCTGTTCAAATGCATGCATCTGGGTGGTCTGTGGAAGAAGCTACTTCTCTGATTAGTAGCTTGAAAGGTTTGACAATGTTGGAGAATGGGCATTTAACAAAACCTGAGATGCAAGATAACGTAGGCCTTTCTCATCCTGCTACTCGCTCAGTTGGTATCCAACAACCCATCAGTGCTGGTGCTGGTGGTATGCGCTACAGTCAGACAAAAGTGCCTGAAAATGTGATTGCATCCAGAATTGATGCTATTATGTCATCTGGAGTTACCACTGATGCTTTGGCTGCTAAAGCTACCTTAGCTTCGCAAGGTGGGATGCGGAAGAACCCAGTTAGCCGCCCAGCTAGGAATCTTGGTCCTCCACCAGGTTTTAGCCCTGTTCCTCCAAAGCCACCACACGTATCTGTTTCTGCATCAGATTTGGAGAACCCCCTTATGGATGATTATAGTTGGTTGGATGGATATCAGTTGACATCATCATTGAAAGGCGCGGGACTTAATAGTTCCCTCAATCATGCATTTCATGCAGATTCCCAGTATGTCAATAATAGTAGCAATGGCTTGACTGAAACAGTAACTTTTCCTTTCCCTGGAAAACAGGTTCCAACAGTGCAGTTTGAAATGGAAAGGCAGGGCTGGCAGGATTACCATACTCTTGAGCATCTGAAAATTCAACATGGACAGATGTTGCAGCAACAGCAACAGCAACAGCAACTCATGAAAGGAAACCAGCAGTTTACCTCACTGCCTGAGCAGTATCAAGGACAATCACTCTGGACAGGTCGTTATTTTGTGTGAGATCACTATGCAAGTGTAGCTGGTATATTCACTTTTTTACTCATTTTCTGCCTCTTTATTTTGTAGTTGATTTTAACTGTCTCTAAGGTTCTTTTCATATAACCTGTTCTATTTACATTTATTTTTGTTCTTGAGGTTCTTGAGAATGATTCCCATGAATGTATTGCATCCATTTGCTGCCAAATTCAACTCCAACTTTGAAGCATTGTCAGTGTTGAGTTTTTGTTGGAGCACGGGTGGCCTTGGCTTCTTGCAGGCACTTGCTGCTAAACAAGTAAGTACGCACTTGATTATTTTTCTTTGATCATTTTCTAATTACTCTCTTTTCTGTCTCGTTTTTGTGTTAGTTAGCATCCACTTAGTGATTTTTTTCTTAGATCATTTCCCAATTACTTCTCTTTTTCTCTTTCGTTTTGTGTGTTTCTGTGCATGCGCTTAGTGATTTTATCCTAGATCATTTCCTAATAAGTAACAATAATGCTTATAAGCCATTCTGCATTCAGTACCAAAAACGAAATTCCTTTCTGTATATATGGAGATGTATGCATGATTTTCTGTTTATCTCAACAGAAGTGGCTCTTACAGTTAATTTTGCAGATTTGAGGAAGACTGAGGAAACCATCTTTTAAGATGCAAAACTTGCAAGGAGTAAATGCCTTTAACTGGTTACTTGGGATGGAGATAGAACGTGTTAATAAGATCTGTTGGTTTTGGGGCTATATGTTGAGGAGTTGGTCGAATAAACTTGGTTTACTATCCTATTAACTTTCCAGTGGTCTGCCTAAATTGCTGTTAAAAATTAGCAGCCGGCAGTCGATAGCATATGATGTGCTCGACCAGTTCTCTGCAGATGAGCTTCAGAGGTCTAGTCGAGAGGTCTACTAGGTATGATCTGCATGTCAGTCGTCGGACAGTGGGATTGGGATTATGGTGGTGCTTTTGACTAGCAGAATGTGTGGGTGAGTATTGAGTGATGTGTACGTGTAATATCTGGGTCAAAGACTTCTTTATGTTATCATGCTTTTACTGGCTAGGACGAGTGATGTGGAACACAAAAAGTAGTGTCTTTACTTGAAGTTGGGGTTTACTCAAAACTTCTTCTGTATTGAAATAAATCTATGGAGAATATCTTTTTCTGGGTCATTTGCGGATGCAGATTTTCTTTCTTTTGCTTGCTGATAAATCATTATTTGGTAGTAGTTGTCATTCTTAGGTTTTCTTTCTTTTTTACTAGGTCTGCGAGACTGCAACTTCTGAAGAAATGGATAGTGAGTTGCATGCTCTATCAAGTTAATTATTCTTGTTTATAACATGGCAGGAATGAAGATCCAAAATTTATGCATTTAGTTATGCTTCTATTGACATTTTAACATTAAAGAATGTGTTCGGTAACATGAGTAAAAATAAAAAAAATAAAAGATTTTAGCCCCTCTTTCCTTCAAATGCCAAAAAAAAAAAAAAGAAAAAAAAAACCCTTCACCACCGTAATACCAGTGATGGAGAACCGCTCACCTGCTAGGATGGATTAAAGAAAATCAGCCCTCAAATCCAGGGTGTTGATGGAACTGAACCGAACCCTCTCTCCAAACCCTAAAACTCAGTTCGTTGACCCTGATCCTGGTCACTCATTCCAAGCCATAAGGGGTCAGAACTTCGGGCCCAATCACAGCTCCGCTAACACTCCACCGATGAATGGCTTTGCTCAACAAGCTTACTCCATGGACCAATCCACCAACATGTCTCAGAGTGTTATGAATGGATTTTTGATCCAGAAATGGTTGCTGTTTACAAGTCTCTTGTGTCAGAATTCGCTGTCATTGATAGGTAATTTTATCCAGAAAAGGTTTTTTTTTTCCCCCTCTAATGCCAAAGGGTAAATTAATAGTAATTTAATTGATCGTCTAAGCATATTAATTATATTGCTATGTTGCTAATGGGGCATCATCCTGTGAGAAATTAGTGGGCAACAACTATTACGAATGTATGTTTATTGGAAAATGACAGTATTTTTCTGTAGTTCACACGTGTTCACCTGTAATATTTCAAAAAAAAAAAAAAACTTACTCTTGTGCTAAAAAACGATTTGGCTAAACAATCAATAAATTGAGTTGGTTTGCTATGAATTTGTAATTTCTCCTGTGCACAGAAGAATCAAGTATATTTTCTACTTATCCCTGAATTTTGATAGAAGCATAATAATTACTAGTTTTTACCAAAAAATAAAAAAAGAAATAATTTGTAGCAAGTAAAAAGTAGGAAAATGGCATTCGTTTTAAATAAAAATTTTCATTCAATGAGCCCCCATTAGATGGACCTGCTAAAGCCTTAAGACTCTTAAGTGCAATGTTCCTTTCTTCTTCCTCCTTTTTTACTTTCTTTTTTTTTTTTTTCTGTTATTAAGTATTACCATGTACACACACTAGAAGTATAGAAAAGAGGAGCAAAACTTGGGAATTTTATAGTTCTTATTTTACTGGCTAAATCATCCATGCTTGTATATGTATGAAAGCATATCACTTATAATAATTGTACTATAATTAACCAATTAGATTTTAAAATTATGTAAAATCTACCAAAATATTATGTGGAATCCACTCTTATAAATAGACCCTCACAATTTTTTTATTGTAATTGGATAATTGAAGCATTGTAATAAAAAAAATTATAGCTAAAATACTCCCCTTATAAATAAGCGTAATTGCTGTCACGTGTTAGTGTAAAAAATGCTATATGATAAGAACTAGTCCCAATGCCGGCCAGGCAGGCAAATGAAGAGGCCAAGCTTAGCCAGTTCCAGCAAGAACTGCGGCAGCTGGTGGCAGTGCTAAAGGGGATCATATCCCCACGAGTTAGGAAAACAAATGAGCATCAATAAAGGGAAAGAGTACATGAAACATGCAGTTAAAACGATTCCTCGAAGCAGGACGTTCTGCTAATAAAATGGGAGCTGATGGACAACAGATTGTTCAAATGAGGCCATCCCTAACTACAAGATCATCAAAACCCTCATCTCAACAACCATAAGAAGAGTTCATACATATAAGCACTCGAGAGACAAAGCAAATGTTAAGAAATATAGCAATGGTCATTTTGCATTTAGCATACAGAGAGGGAGAAAGGTGGAGATAACACAAACTTCTTTGAATTATCCAAAAGAGTTTGTGTCATTTACTGTGCATCAAAGCATCCATGAGATATGCCATGAACATTATTCTGTAGGCACTGAAAAATCTTTGATCGGAATGGAAGTGCAACCAAGTTTCATCCTAACACTGAACATACATGGCTATTATACAAAAATTTCACCATGTGATCATATATGCATAAAACTTAACCAAAGTATCACTAAGTAAAAGAAAATGACCATTTTCAACCCCTCTTCTCTACCAAATAGGTATCTAGTAAAATGCTTCTATGCCTGTTCGTTATGTAGGTTTAGGTGCTCTAAAAGAAATAGAGAATTGCTATGTTTGCTAGCAAAGTGAAAGCAATGACTCATTCATGAGATAAAAGATTGTCAACTCTTAATGATATGCATCGTTGACATTTTAAATTTCAAAAGAAATATTTGATTTACAGTCCATAAAACTTGACGAGCAAAATCATTAAATAGACCAACAGATTTAAGAGATGCACATTAAAAAAAAAGGTATTCATGGTTGTACTAAGACATGTAAAAAATGATATATCATCGCTCATTTACTTGCAGAACATATCCTTTTCTCTATGTATACTGCTGTCTAAGTACCTGTGTTTATGTTGATAACTCTCTTTTGAGGGAGATTGATATAAGCAAAGAATGGATGCATAGACTAATTAGATTAAATCTCAGCCACGATTTAAAGTGTCCCAATTTGGAATATTGGCAGTAGCCTCATTCACCATCTTCACAAGTCTCACCTGCAGAAATTGGAATGATCAGATTTGTAAATACAGAGAGAAAGATAAAAATTACATGTATTGCAACTCAAAAGTTTGTGGAGAAAACTATTTAATTTGGTGAATTTATTTAAATGGGCTTCAGGGAGTGGGAAAACAGCCCTAATAGGGTGATCCACTGATTCTGCTACTGCTTTTGTAGGCAATAGCAGAACTACTCAGTAGTACTTCCAGCATCGATTATCACCAACTTAACGTCAATCAACAATCACATTAAGTTTCCCAAAATAAGAATTTAAATTTCCCAAATAATGCTTCAATCTTCTTTCTAGGCATTCGGCCTACACCTTGAAGATTGAAGCATCTGCAACATATTTTGAACTGAGTACAAAAGTACAAAGACAATTTGATTGACCATTACTGAAGAGACACTGATTACAACCATTACCTGGATCATGCTGTTGTGCAAAGTAAATGATGAAAAATTCACTCTAGGTGTGGTTTGAATTCTTTCTACTCAATGATCCTGCTGTTGTGCACAGTAAATGATGAAAAATTCACTCTAGGTGTGGTTTGAATTCTTTTTACTCAATGATCCTGCTATCAACTTCTATATTCACCAGGTGGCCCATATTTATATTTTCCCAAATGGATGAACTTACCACGCTTTCAGGAACACCAGGAGGGGGCAAAGAGAGGTTTCTTGGTGGAGGCCCACTGAGATATGATCTCTTGTCAAAACGCCATTCTCCAATCTTTCCATATGTTAATTCTCCCTGTAATACCAAATCAGAGAGAAGAACTTGTGGCACAAAATATGGCTAGAAAAACAAATTTTCAACTTAAAGAGGTAAACAAATTACAACTTGCACAGTAGACTTCAAAAACAATAAATTAGAGAGAGAGAGAGAGAGAGAGATCCTTGTATGGTTGTACCTTTAAATTATAGTCACAGCCGTAAGTATAATGGATTATAAACTTCTTCCCTACTTCCAAATCCCATGGTGGCTGACAACAAACAGAGATGGAAGTTAAACTTCAAATGGTGGCTAAAGGTCATTGAGAGAGAAAAAAGGCTCATCATGCATCATTAAAACCTGGAGCATAAAGTCTTTACGAAGTATATGCCGCACACCATGCAGTGCTGATGCCACAGCATATGCATACCTAAGCTCAGTTGAACGTTCACCCATGTCAAAAGATCATATCAGCCAAAAGAATATAATTAAGACAAAATTACAAAAATGTTTCTCACATTTCTAGAACCCATCCAAATGCCTTATCAGTTGCTGGGTCATCTTTCATTCTTAAAGACACATTCATCCATGTAGGTGAAATTTTCTCCAGCACAGACTGAAGCATATAAAACATATAAACATATAAAACTACTATGGCTGAAACCAAAGAGATAATGAGGCTGAACACAAGAAATTATACTTTAAATTTGCATAAAAAATGAAGAAAATGTATAATATCAAAATAATTGAATGGTGATTTATGCTCAGATCAAATGTGCCACACAAGCTACCACAACCATAAAGTGCTACCTTTCTAATAATCACAGGAGAATTGCCAATTGGATCAATATTTGTCACAGGACCCTTCTCCTTGGGATAATACTTCCTAATAATATGCTCATGTTCTGCCGGCTTAATGTAGAAAAAGGGGAACCCTGCTGGATGTTTTCCATGAGCCAAGTTAGGCAAAGGATTTACAAATACATGGTCAGGTTCCGCCATTAGAATGTATCTGCATCAGTCATAAAATGTAGTAACTTTCAGATCATGTAAAGGAAGAGTGGAAAACATGAATGGTCTTATCGGTTAAAAAAAAAACTCACTCTTCACCAATTGTTGCCTTTTCCAACCATTGCACAAAAGCCCATGGTCTATTTAAGACAATATAACCCTGAAGATGGCATTGAGACAGAATAAGAATAAGTTGAAACAAGGAGGTGTCTTTAGTTCAGTTTGTGCCTTTGAACTAATGCTGATGGAGGATTCACTCTAAAAATATGATTCAAGTGAAAAAAATACAGAACATCTTTGATTCACAGTGACACATTTTGAATGAGCTTGCTTTATATATATAGATTTGCCAAAAATAAATTCTATATCTATCAGTTTGGTTTTGTTCCTTCCCCTCCAATACTCTGAAATGATGCTAGGCTAGTTGACATAAGTGAGCCTTTGGTAAAATATCCAATATTAAATTCATTTAAATAGAAGTCAATAATCAAAAGATTACAAGAAAAATGAAAAATAATGTTCGTATCTTTCCTCCATGCTCTAGCTCAGGAATCATAATTGATGGAGAGAGTGAAAGTTGGTCCTTCATCCTTTAATTGATATTTTAAAGCACTAAAGCATCCCATAAACTTTCCTTAATCTGTTATCTTCCTTACTAAACACAAGCAAACAACATATCATAAAAAATGTCCCTCTAATAAAAAATCATGCATGATGCTCATTAAATTCTTCATGTTCAAACATATATGGGGAAATGAAGAAGTGAAACACTACACAGCAGAAGACTCACCCGATCCAAACCCTCTGGAAGAGGATCGACAACAACAGTTGGAATCTCCTCCATCAAATTGTCAGGCTTCCCTGAATGCAAAATTCGAGTAAACTCTCCCATATCTGACCCGGGAATATCTTTTACCTTCTTATACCAATAATACATAATCCGACACTGCCATTGGCTATATGGAGCATCAGTTGCCGTGAGAGCAACATGGTACTTTGAATTAGAACCCCCACCTTCCTTCAACTTCTCAGGCATTCCAATAATAGAATCAGAAAAATCCCAATTCTCTGAACTAGAGGTCGTATAGTGTATTATCATAGTCAACAAATTATAGGTTGCAAAGAAAAAACCAAGGATTAAAAGTACAAAAAAGAGTGGTGAAACACGCTTCATCTTTTACCATACAATACCAAACCCTGCCTTCTCACAGCCGCAACGCAACTAATTCAAATTATGCTATCTAGAGCAACATTGGAGAGAAAATTCACAATAATGCCATTGAACCGCGCAAATTTGCTGCTATACGTTATAGAATTGCAGCGAGTAAAGAATACCTTTTATTTCAAAACTCAGTTAATGAATCATAAATCGCTCAGAGATCCAAAGAATGAATCTGCATCAGTGCATTGCAAGCAACAAGGCAGTAAGATATGAGTGAATGCTGAATGAAAATGGCACTTTTTAAAGCGGAAGGATGAAAAATAATAATAATTCAATCTAAAAAAAGGGGTGAATCTGGTTATTAATCAGAATTCACAATTTTCAAAGAACAGATCTGATATTCAACTTAAAAAAAAAAATACAAGTAAACGGAGTTTAACCCGGAAGTCAAAAATTATAGAAGCAACAAAACCCAAGAAAAAAAAAAAAAAACGAAAAAAAGAACATAAGAGAGAATGAGAGATGAATGTAGTACCTGAAGAGAGTGTGGGAGAAGTTACAGAGTCATTTGAGATTTTGGGTTTTCATTCAACGCTTTGAATTAAGACGCGTAAGTTTGACAAGTCGGAAAGGTTGAATGCTTCTAATGTCTAAGCTCTAAACTAAACTCCAAACTATAATGGCAAAAGACAAGGATGCCGTGGTTAAAACTCTGGGGGCCTACTTGTTGGGCAACTGAACTGATGTGTTCATTTTAAGACAGTGGATGTTTGCTTTGGCGTGACAAATTTTTATGCGTGTGGCCACAAGGTTTAGTTGGATTTGGCATGTCACTTCAGTTCTTTGCTTTATCTCATCCTATGTTAATCCACATCAAAATAGTTTTGCTTTCACTTTCATAAATTATTGGGAAATTTTAAAAAAAAATTCTTTTAAATAAAAATCTAATATAGTATTTGAATATTAAATTCAACTATGGATGAATATATTTAATATTTAAATAATTGAGTTTGATTTTTTTAATCTAATATTATATGTTCTAGTGATCATATATTATAAACCTTAATAACATTAAATTTAAAAAAAACCCTAATTACTTAATCTTACATGTGATAGTCTAACATGATAACCATATACATTTTCAAATAATTAAATATGCATGTGGTAGTCTATTCAATTTTTAATTATAGAACAAATTAGTTTTATATATTTCATTTTCATTTCTTTATGTATTCTTTATTTTTTATTTTTTACCCAAGACTTGCCTAACTCATTTAATTGTAGGGGTTTTTTTAGACTTGCCTAACTCATTTAATTGTAAGTTTTTTTTTTAAGTTATAATTATAATCAAATATTATATTTATATAATCTACTAAATAATCAAACTATTATATCATAATTAACTTACAATTATTAAATAATTAATTAATAAACTAAAACAATCAACTAATAAATTATAATACAACTAAACAATTAACTCACATACAATAAAACTTAACCTAAGGCTCATTTCAAGACATCTTCATTGCCATTAAATCATTGCCTTATTGGCAATTGCATTTTTTTCTTTTTTAATATATAGAGAGGCTACAACCTATCTAATAGTACTTTTCAAATGAATTAAATTGTTGATGGCATTCCTTGAATTATTTATTTATATAATTATAGTCAATCTTTTACACTATATTTACTCTTTTAATTGATTCTTGAAAGTATTATTCCTTGTCCGTTGAACTAGAATATCATTTGACTTAGCCCATTAACATTTTTTCTAACATAAGTAATATTGAAATACAATAAGTGGTTAACAAGAATTTAATCTTTTCATTCAAATCAAATAAAAATATAAAAAAAAAATTTAATTGCTACCTTAAATTTATCAAACATCATAAACTTCACTGGTGTAAGAACTTTGCCCCATTTTGATCAAGGATTAGTAAAATTCACTTGAATTATTTTTGAAATTATTAAACTAACCGTTGATTGCTCAAAATAACTACCAACATCTATTTTTAGTAAGATTACTTAACTTATATAGTTCTTTAAAAAACAAATAACAATAAGAAAATTTTAATTGTAAAAAATATCTCATATCTTTCTCTTAACAGAGTAATCCACAACTACTTGTTTAGATTTAACAGAGTCGATAATTTTTTGTTTGCTCCCCCTAGTTCTTTGCCTTGTTGTTATACCTTCTTCTTTTTTTAAGTGGTGGCTCGTCAGCGAATAATGGATTTATGTTATGCTTCGTTGATGGATAATTTATCATCAGTGCGAAAGATGACTTGTATGGTGGATTATGCTATATCGGTGGTTAAAAATACCTGTATTAGGGATCATGCTGCATTGGTGCTGTTGATGACCCGATACATGAATCATCTCTCATAGATCTTATTGTAAAACCACCTTAATGAACATAACTCTTTGCACAATGTCCCATCATATTTGTCATATAGAACATAAACATTTCGTAAGAATTTTAAAAGCACAACAATAACAAACATATATGATATTACTTTAGTATCAGAATATTAGATGAAATGAGCAAAATATATACAAATAAACATATCAAAATATTATACTGAAAATAAGCCAAATCAACTATTATATTTAATATTACATATATTGACCACATCGAATAAATATTATATATAGCACTAAAAGACATACTAATACATCAAGCGTCGCTAAAGTAAGCAAACTTATGTGTTTCATCATCATCATTACTTTCTTGTTCTTTTGCTTGAATCACTTGTTCATAATCTATCTTTTCATAATCACTAACAACAAGAATTGTAGGATTATCAAGTTTTTTTGAAATAGTAATATTACATAGAATAGAAACTTCAACTTCTAGGTATACATCTTTATTTAAATAAGTTGTTTATTCTTCATCTTCATCATTATTAGTTACCCAGTATGTACTCCCGACCTTTGTTTTAAAAATTGCTCACCAATCATTTTGATCTATTCTTCTAGAAAAATAGCTTGTATAGGAAACATAATGTACTTGCGAAGTTAAGACAAACGGTTCATTGCTAGCAAACATTGAATTGTGTTTAATTTTAATAGGACCATGACAGGATCAACCTTTACCCTCTTCTCTGTGTCAAACCAATGACATTTAACAAATTCAACTTTATTCGCTACTCCAAAATACTCTAAGTTAATGATATCTTCCAACATATCATAAAAGTCACCTTCATAGTTATTATAATAACTTCTCCCACATATAACTCATAATTCATCATCTTTTGACTTTGGCCATAATTAACTGTATGAAATTTAAAACCATTCACAAAGCAACCCTTAAAACAACTAATCATGCATCCACGGCCATAAGTTATCTCAACTAGACGATGATCAATTTCATCATTTTTTTGAGCCTATCTGATCGTAAAACATTCAAATTGATAATTATTTTTAATTATATTAAAATATTATTTCTATTCGGGTAAAATACATAAATAGTCACTTAACTATATGGGTCTTTTTAAAATGACCATTAAACTATTAAATTTTTTAATATAGTCACTAACGTTTGAACAAGTTTTTTTTTATCACTACCGTTAATTTTTAACAGAATGCGGACTAGACATGTCACATCAACTGTTAAATGTTACATTAGCTGACTGTGTATAAAAGTCAATTTTTAAAAAAATTTTCATTTTTTTGCTTTTTTTTTTCTTTTCTCCCAATTCTTTCTTCTTTCTTTCTATTTTCTCTACCTAAAATATAGCCACAATTATTGAAAAAACTTAAGAAACCTAGTTTTTTATCCACATCCACTGTGTTTATAGCTGTTTGTTAGCACTAAAAATGCCTCAAAAGATCTTTCCTAATTTTTTTTCCTTCTGTTTTCACTCTTTCAATTAGTTTTTTTTTTTTAAATCCTTAAAAGGCTTAGATTTAGGATTTAGTCATATGATTTCAAACCCAAAATGTGCATCTTCGTCACTCTAAACTTAACCACATTGTAATTTGTTTCTTCTCTACCTCTGACCTTCATTTCCCCTAATTTTCAAGTCCCAAAATCTTTTAGAATAAGCCAAACCCAAAACCCTTTCATTTTTTTTTTTTTGGTTTTTTTATACGTTGTTTTGCTTTATATTTTAAATGATGAAATTGATATTTTATTTTTTTCTTGCTTTTTTTTTCTAATTGTGGTTTTTTAAGGTAAAAATGATTTTTTTTATGGTGATAAAAGGTGGTTTGGGTGAGGATAATGGTGGTTGTTTAAAGGTTTTGGTTTTCTGGTTTTTTATATGATTTTGGTTATTTAGGTTTTATTTTAAGGTTTTAAAAAATAGTAAATAAACTTGAAAATATTGAAATTGTTTGCTATATAGCTATATGGGTTTTGCTCTATTGTCTCATGGGTTGTTTCAATTGTTTATTTTATCAATGATGAAGAAAGAGAGAATGGGTGGTTCCAATGGTGAAGATGACAGCAATGATTAGTTTCCAATTGGTATGCATGTTTTAGCTATTGATGATGACCTTATTTGCCTCAATCTTTAGTTTATTTGTTAGAAGTAAAGGGAAATGAATGATTAGAAAAGTAGGAATAATGAAAGAAAGAGAAAGGAAATAAAAATTTTAATATTGAAAAGAAAAAAATGGAAAAAAATTCATATTTTGTTTTAATTTTTATTGTTAATGACATGTTAGCTTTAGTTATATGATATTTTTTATGATATGGACATACCATGTGGCAATTGACATCATAAGTGGTGTGTGCAGTTAGGATTCTGTTAAAGATTAACAGCTTAGTGACAAAAAAATACTTTTTTAAAAGTTAATGACTAAATTAAAAACTTTAATAGTTTGGTGACCATTTTAAAATAACCCTTATAGTTAAGTGACTATTCATGTAATTTACCTTTTCTATTCATATATGCTATTATGCTCTAAAGTTACAAATTGTCTTAATCATTGCAGAAAATCTTGCATTATATGCTTTCTCCAATTTCACATCACTTATATTCACAAATTCTATCCTCATCAAGTCATCAAATATCCTATCCTTGTAAATTATGAATTAGAAATATTTTAAAAAACTAACTAGAAACACATAAGTTATCATGTTGACATAATACTTACTCAATGTAGAGATTTATCTTTTCGTAATTCAATAAAATATATAAATGTGTCTTGGTATGTTCATCTGCTGATAGTCATCGAGATTTATCTTGTAGACCTAATGCTCAACCAAGATAAGTAAAAATCGAAAAACGTCATCTAGATTTCACGACTCCTCCATCATCATTACATGAAACTCGATTCAATCTTGTTGACACATTTGGATCAAAATATAATGAGGAAAAAGTAAATATCTCTTCAATAACATATGCCCACATATAGATGCTTCAACAAATGCTCGATTTGTGCATTGTTTTTAGATGATGAAGAAACCTAGTCAGCCTCATAGCATAACATAAATAAATGTTATTGATCAAAGATTAAAATAATAAATGTTAATGTCTAACAATTGATATTTATTACCTCTTAAATGGATACATCCATCAATAATGAATAGGTCCACCAATTTTTGCCTCGTTAGGTAAGTAAATCTGATAAATACTGCATAGAATCAAAGAAACTTAGAGGAAAAATCTTTTCTAATTTGCATATTATTTCAACAATATTTTTTTCTAACACTTTCATATGATCTACATGTAGTTTCGTAGAACACAAATCTCTAAAAAAATGAGATAGCTCAGTAATTGCATCCCAAATAGAGTTA